CTGAGGACTTTTTTCATCCAAAGAAACAAACAAACAAAAAGTTCCTGGGGGGAGGTGAGTCATGGAGGTCATGCCATTTTTGGTAAAAAACTGCTGAACATTCAGGGTGGTATGGGCAGGTATGTTGTCATGGTGGAAGAACCAGTCACCTGTTTGCTGCAACTCAGGGCATTTCTTTCACAAATTGTCTCTCACAACAATGCTAGCTGGTACACTATTGATGAAGGGTTCCTAAAACACTTACCTAGTGGGGAAAGCCTATACTATAAGGGGCCCACCCTCTAAAGATAATTCCGGTTTTTTGGGTCCCCCCTTGTATATAATAGTAAACTCTCTGAAAAACAAGGACAAGAAGAATATATATATATGATTGTGTGTGCATAGAGAAACAACTCTGGTAAGTTATGGAAGAAACTGATAATAGTTACTTAATGGTTGGGGAGAATGGAGGGAATGGGAGTCACGGAGATGTCACTATATAGTTTTTATGTTATTTCATTTTTGAGTCAAATGAAAATACCCAAATGCAAGACAATAAATTAAAAAATGAAATGAATAAGGGTAAACCCAGGATTCTGTTAACACTCATAATGAGTAAAACAGTATACATGACTTCAAAAAGACAAGAAAATTTTATTTTGAAAAGTCAGATGCCTACTGCATTCCAGCCTGTGGGTGGGGGGAGAGAATATAGCAAAAAAAGTTCAAGTAATACAAAAGAGTATGTAGTGGAAAATGAGTTTATTTCTCACTCCTGACCCCTTGTTTTTCAGAGGTCCCCACTCTTACCAGTTTCTTTTGTGGCCTACCAGAGATATTCTGTGACTATACAAGCATGAGTGCTTGTGTGTGCGTGTCATCCTTCCCTCCTTTCTTTCTCAAATAGAAGCATACTATAAACACTGTTCTACATGATGCTTTGTTTCTTCCTCTCCCCTCCTCTCCCCTCCTCTCCTCTCCTCTCCCCTCCTTTCCCCTTCCTCTCCCCTTCCCCTCCCTCTCCCTCTTGTTCTACAATGATGTAGAATCTACATCAGTACTTACAGATCTACTTAATTTTTTAAAGAGTCTATATAGGTTTATATAGTCTTTGTTTGTTTGTTTGTTGTAAAGATGGGGGTCTCGCTATGTCATCCAAGCTGGTCTCAAACTCCTGGTTTTAAGTGATCCTCCCATCTTGGCCTCCCAAAGTATAGTTTTAACTTATATAAATATACCTTGGTTTATTTAACTAGTGCCCTGCTAGTAGTGAATTTTAAAGTTGTTTCTACTCTTGTTAATACAATGTTGCAGTGGATATCCTTGTCCATGTATCTTTGCACATATGTGTGAAGGATATTTATATGTAATTTATATATTAGATACATTCAGATAAATTGCTGGGTCAAAGGATATATGCTCTTAATAGTCTCATATTTTATATCAACTCTAGAATTCACTTATCAAAAATAACCTTTTAGGATTTTGACTGGAAACACTGAATTTATTAATTAATTTAGGGAGAACTGAAATCTTTGTAATATTTTTTCCATCCAGGTATGTGGTATGTTTCTTCAGTTACTCTAGTATGTGATATGTTTCTTTGGTTACTCTAGTTTTTTCTTATGTATTTCTCTGAAGTATTTTCTTTCTCTCTCTCTCTTTTTCTCTCTCTCTCTTCCTGTAGATGTGTGTGTAAATAAGTATTTCTAATATAGATCTTTCTTTTTAAGTTTAATACAAGATATTATAAAGCTTTTTATTGTATTATAAATGGGATCTTTTCCATGACATTTAAAAATTGGTTATTGCCAATCTTGTTTCTAGATACCTTGCTCTTTTATTAGTTTTATTCATTTTTTTCAGTTGATTCTCTTGGTAGCTGACCATATGATCATCATATAAAAGTAATTTTTGTCTCTCTCCTTCCAGTACTCATTTTTTTCTTTTTCTTATTACATTAGATAAGAAAATGTTCAGTTGTAGATGTAATAGTGAATATCTTTGTCTTGTACTTGATTTTAATGGCACAATGTTATTTAAACTACAGTCATGTGCTGCATAATGATATTTCAGTCAACAATAGACTGCGCATATGACAGTGGTTTCGTATGATTATAATGGAGCTGAAATATTTCTATTGCCCAGTGACATCGTAGTTATAATGTCATAGCGCAATGTATTACTCACATGTTTATGGTGATGCTGGTGTAAACAAGTCTACTGTGCTGCCAGTCATAAGAATTAGTACATATACTTATGTATATAGTATGTAATACTTGATAACAATAATAAATGACTGTATTACTGGTTTATGTATTTACTGTACTTATTAAAGTATACTCCTTCTACTTATATAAAAAAAAGTTAAATGTAAACAGCCTCGGGCAGGTCCTTCAGGATGTATTCCAGAAGAAGGCATTGTTATCATAGGAGCTGACAGCTCCATGGGTGTTATTACCCCTGAAGACCTTCCAGGGGGACAAGATGTGGAGATAGAAGACAGTGATATTGATGGCCAGACCCTGTGTAGGCCTAGGCTAATGTGTGTGTGTTTGTGTCTTAGTTTTTAACAAAAATGGTTTAAAAAGTAAGAAAAACTAAAAAAAAATGAAAATAGGAAAAAAGCTTATAAAAAATAAGGATATAAAAAGAAAAATTTTTGTATGGTTGTACAATGTGTTTGTGCTTTAAGCTAAGTGTTATGCAAGAGTCAGTTAAAAAATTAAAAAGTTGACCGGGCTCGGTGGCTCAGCCTGTAATTCCAGCACTTTGGGAGGCCGAGGTGAGTGGATTGCCTGAGCCTGCGGGTTTGAGACTCGCCTGGGCAACTTGATGAGACCCCATCTCTACAATAAATAAAAAAAAAAAAAATGAGCCGGGCGTGGTAGCACACGCCTGTAGTTCCAGCTACTTGGAAGGCTGAGGCGGAAGGATCACTGGAGCCCAGCAGGTCGAGGCTGCCATGACTGGGAGTGGCCACTGCACTCCAGTCTGAGTGACAGAGTGAGATTCCAACTCAAAAAAAAAAAAAAAATGAAAAAGTTTATAAAGTAAAAAAGTTACAGTAAGCTAAGGGTAATTTATTTAAATTATTTTTACAATTTTAAAAATAAAATTATGTTTAAAATTATTATTAAAAAAAAATTTCTAAGCCGGGCTCGGTGGCTCAGCCTGTAATCCTGCACTTTGGGAGGCTGAGGTGAGTGGATTGCCTGAGCCTGCGGGTTCGAGACCCACCTGGACAACTTGGTGAGAACTCATCTCTACAATAAATTAAAAAATCAGCCGGGCATGGTAGCACGTGCCTGTAATTCCGGCTACTTGGAAGGCTGAGGTGGAAGGATTGCCGGTGTCTAGTGGGTCAAGGCTTCAGTGGCCGGGAGTGGCCACTGCACTCCAGTCTGGGCGACAGAGTGAGACTCCAACTCAAAAAAAAAAAATTTCTAAAAGAAACTTAGTGTAGCCTAAGTGTACAGTGTTTATAAAGTCTGCAGTAGTGTACAGTGATGTTCTAGGCCTTCACATTCAGTCAACACTCATTCACTGACTCAACCAGAGCAACTTCCAGTCCTGCAGGGTTCATTCATGATAAATGTTCTATTCTAGTGTACTTTTAAAAAAAACCTTTTATACTGTATTCTTACTGTACCTCTTCTATGTTTAGATAAACAGATACGTTGTACTCCAATTGCCTACAGTATTCAGTACAGTAATGTGCTGTACAGGTTTATAGCCTAGGAGCAATAGACTATACCATATAACCTAGGTGTGTAGTAGCAGCTCATACCATCTAGGTTTGTGTAAGTACACTCTATGATGTTCACACAATGACAAAATTGCCTAATTACACATTTTATAGAACTTATCACTGTTATTAAGTGATGTATGACTGTATTGTGTAATATCCAGGGAAACAAGTACTCTTCTAGTTTGCTGGTTTGGATGTAAATTGGTACTTTTCTTTTTTTTTTTTGAGTTGGAGTCTCACCCTGTCACCCAGATGGGAGTGCAGTGGACGCTCCCGGCCACTGCAGCCTCGACCTGCTGGGCTCCGTCGATCCTTCCGCCTCAGCCTTCCAAGTAGTTAGAACTACAGGTGTTCGCTACCACACCCGGCTAATTTTTTTTGACTTATTGTAGAGATGAGGTCTCGCCAAGTTGCCCAGGCAGGTCTCGAACCTGCGGGCTCAGGCAATCCACTCACCTCAGCCTCCCAAAGTGCAGGATTACAGGCTGAGCCACCGAGCCCGATTAATTGGTACATTTTTAGGACAGTTTAGTGGTGCATACGTTAGGACCTTAAAAACATACAGGCCCTTCAACTCGGCAGCCCCACTAAATAACTAAAAATGTGTGTAAAGATATAACTATAATATTCATGGAAGGAGTTTTTGAAATAACAAAAAGTTAGATTAGTTAGATTAGATTTCCAATAGCAAGGAATTATTTTTCAAGTAGACATGTTACATTTATTTAATGAAATATAGCTACATATAACAGAGAGATGATCATGATGTATTATTAATTGAATAAACTGGTTGTAAAGCAGTATGTACAATATGTACAGTGTGATGCCATCTTTCAAGAGCAGTTTGAATATACATATTTGGAAGGATATATCCTGAAAAGTTAGCAGTGGTGATCCTTCTCTGAATGGTGAGTTTATAGGTGACTTTTTATAGGTCTTACTTTTACATGGCTATATTTTCTGTAATGAGCCTTTGAAATAAGAAGGAAAAACTACTTTAAACAATTTTAACATAATAAATTCAATTAATATTTAGTAATTACTTACTATGTGCAAACCATACAGAAAAATATATGACCTAGGCTCCTTGCCCCATTCACCAAATATATATTGAACTCCTGCTCTGTGTCATATACTGGGAATACAAGTGATTGATGAAACACAAGGGGGGCTGTGGGAACACAGAAGAAAGGCTTAAATTTTAAGCAGTTGTGTTCCTGTAGGTCTTCCTTTTGTTTCTAGGAACTGATATTGTGATCTGTTTCTACAGGCTGTGCTGTCCTGCAAATTCTGCTAAGAAGCTCCTAGGTAATCCTTTTGTCCTGAGACAAGCTGTACCTGTAGATTTGTTTCCTCACACCTCGCACTGTTCTATTCACTCAATGAGCAGCCTCCTAGAAAACTACAGGCTACTTGTTAAGGCTGAAGTTTCAGAAACCTCCAGGTTTGGTATATTGCTACATTATAGACCCTGGGAATATTACCAAGGAAACCAATCTTTGGATTGTGAGCAGGAAGAATATAGCAGGCCTCCTCTCTGAGGCAGATTTAATTTCAGTTTTCAGGTTCCCTTGCAATCGTGCCTGTGCCTGGTTTTAACCACTCCCCATTTCTGAATCTGGACTGTTCCTTCCTTTTGCTGTCACCCCTTCATGGCTCTCTTGGTTCTAGTTTATAGGCTTGTTTCCTTCATCTGATTCTGCTTATGGTGTGGTGACAACTGAGTTTTGTTGTTGTTGTTGCTTTTAGTAGCTAGTAATACGTTCACATTGGAGTCTGTACATTTGCTTAGAGATTTTACTACTTCTAGAAGTTTTTGAGTCTTCTGAGTTCATGAAGTAGCCAAGGATTAGATTAGAACTAGAAACTGTCTAACCTTTTAAAAAGTCGAGTAAGCCATGCAGGGTAACTGAGTAATTATCAGTAGAGATTCATTCCTTTGGGTTTTCTTAGCTTTGAGGCCTCCAGTATGCCCTTTGAAAATGCCATTTTCCCTAGGAGCAATAGCACTAATTAACTCTCACCCGTGGAGGAAGAGTTGGTTATTGGAGAGACCCTAAGGGAAAGGAGATTTCCAAAGAAGATACTGAATACCCATTATCATGTTGTGTAGTATAGAGACAAAAAATTCCAGACAGAATCCAATATGTAATATAATAAAGTAGATATTGAAAACTGACTCTATATTCAATATTTTCTAATCCATAATTTCTTTAGCTTTGGAGTTGTTCTTGGATACTTGCCCCAGAATTTAGATTATGTTTTGAATCTTTTGACAGCTTAAGGATGTGTAACTTAGCAAGCATTGATTTACAAAATGGTATTAGGTTAACTAGTATTTTTATTTCTTAATCCTAAATACTTCTGTAGAAGCTGTTAAAGCTACCATATAATGTTTTGTATTCTTTTATGAGATAGTTTGGTCACAGGAGGAGACACAGGAGAGGCTCAGGAAGACAAAGTCTAGTATACTCACAAGTCCTAGAGACAAGAGGCATGCCACACCATGCAGGACCACATAGGAAAGAAACCAGAGTGCTCAGGAAGCAGAAGACAGGGATGAAGAGAAGGCTTAGGCCACTGCATTTATTTGGATTTCCTTAGGAAAGGCAATGCAGGGTAGGGTGAACAGTTTAGAATTGGCTAGTTTGATAATAATTTCTGCAGGATTTAAGCTATGGGTGTGTTCCTTAGTTGTCTGGTACCTGGTCCGGGGATGATTAAGGCAGAAGAATATTGTCTCCTGGGGTATACAGGCCAGATAGAGGAGATATGGCTCTAAATTAGTTTTTATATCAGAGATATCTTTCACTGAGCCCTTGCTATCACTAAGAATCAGCTAGCCTGGGGTGGGCAGCCAAAAAGATTTTATGATATCAAAACAGCATAATATAGAGAAACACACATAAACAAACTACACAATACAGTAAATATCAGTTAAAGAATACTAAAAGGAAGTAATCTAAAATGATAAAAGTGATAGTGTATGATAGTCACATAAGTTTTCTATTTCCTTATTTTTTAATTTCATGTAATGAGATTATATTAGTTTTACAACTAAAATTTTTTTTAAATGAAGTATGTTTTTCCCTTTCTTGTTTCCCATATCAGTAAATAAGAATACTATTTACCAGTTACTTAAGCCAGAAACCATACAGTTATCTTTCTCATTCCTGTATCCAGCTGCCTGCAAGGTAGATTCCACCTGGATATCTTCTAGACACTCCAAATCTAGCATATAATATTGAATGCTTCATGTCTTTCCCCAAACCTATTCTTCCTTCCTCTATTCCCAATTTTGGTGCAAAACCAATCTACTCAGTCACCCAAGCCAGAAGCCTGGAAATGATTCCTGAGTCCTTCTCTTGTACTATTGCCCAGATCCAATTTATTGTCAAGTTGCCATCTCTGCATGCTACCATCATCTCTCATCAGATTCTTATTGCAAGAGTCATCTTTCCAACTGGTGCTGCTTTTATCCACTTTTGCCTACCTCCATTCCGTTCTCTACAGCCAGAGTGATTTTTCTACAATGCAAATCTCTTTGTGTTTCTCCATTGCTTAAAAATCTGTCATTGGCTTCTTATTGCCTTTTTTAAAAGTCCAAAATTCTTTTTTTGTTAATTTACAAAATTCTTGATGGAGCTCAAAAGCTACTTCATAATTTGGGAAACTCATTTCTCTATACACATTGAATTCCTTTCCTAGAAAAGGAAAAAGCTTTCTATTCTGGTCCTTTTCACATTGTTTCCTCAGCTTGGAATGCCCTACCTTTTCTGGCTAACTCTAGTCACCTTTCTGGTTTGTAACTAGATATTCCTCTCTCAAATAATATCTAATGAATAAATAAGTATAGCATTGACTGTGGACAATCAACTTCCTGATAATTTTGTTGCTCTTTTATAGGCATACCTTGGAGATATTGCAGATTTGGTTCCAGACAGCTACAACAAAATGAATATCACAAAAAAACAGTTACATGAATTTTTTGGTTTACCAGTACATATAAAAGTTATGTTTATACTGCACTGTGGTCTATTAAGTGTGCAATAGTATGTCTAAAAACCAATGTATATACCTTAATTAAAAATATTTTATTGTTAAAACATACCATCTGAACCTTCAGGAAATTGTAATCGTTTTGCTGGTGGAGGATCTCATCTCCTCCAGTTGATGGCTGACTGGTTAGGGTCATGGTTGCTGAAGGTTGGGGTGGCTGTGGCAATTTCTTAAAATAAGACAATGAAGCTTGCCACATCAATTAACTTTTCTTTTCACAAAGGATTTATCCAAAGCATGTGATGCTGTTTGGTAGCATTTTACCCGGAGTAGAACATCTCTAAGAATTGGAGTCACTCCTTTCACATCCTGCCACTGCTTTACCAAGTTAATGTAGCATTCTAAATCCTTTGTTGTCATTTCAACAATGGTCGCAGCATCTTCACCAGGAGTAGATTCCATCTCAAGAAACCACCTTCTTTGCTCATCCATAAGAAGCAACTCCTCATTCATTCAATTTCTATCATGAGATTGCAGCAGTTCGGTCACATCTCCAGGCTACACTGCTAATTCTAGTTTTCTTGCCGTTTGCACCACATCTATAGTTACTTTCTCCACTGAAGTCTTGAAACTCCCAGTCATGGGGACTGGAATCATTCTCTCTCTCTCTCTCTCTCTCTCTCTCTCTCTCTCTCTCTCTCTCTCTTTTGAGATAGGCTCTCACTCTGTAGCCTAGGCTGCAGGGCAGTGGTGCAATCCCAGCTCACTGCAGCTCCGACTTCCTGGACTCAAGTGATCGATCACTCCCATCCCAGCCTCTCGAATGGCTGGGACTACAGGTGCACACCACCATGCTTGGTTAATTTTTCTTTTCTTTTCTTTTCTTTTTTTTTGTAGAGACAAAGTCTTACTATGTTGCCTAGGCTAGTCTCAAACTCCTGGGCTCAAGCACTCCTCCCACCTCAGCTTCCCAAAGTGCTGGGATTACAGGTGTGAGCTATTGCGCCTGGCCTGTAATCAACTTCATTCAAACTCATGTTAATATTGATATTTTGACTTCCTGTGAATCACTAATGTTTTATTTTGCAGCATCTTCACCTCTCTCAGACTTCATATAATTGCTCTGGATTCGGCTTTGACTTGAGGGAATATTGTGACTGGTTTGATCTTCTATCTAGACCACTAAAACTGATATGGAGTCTGTAATAAGACTGTTTCTTATCATTCATGTGCTTGCTGGAGTAGCACTTATAATTTTCTTCAGGAACTTTTTTTGCATTCACGACTTGGTTGTTTGGCACATGAGGGGTCTAGCTTTCAGTCAGTTTTGGTTTTCAACATGCCTTACTCAACTAAGCTTAATTATTTCTAACCTTTTATTTAAAGTGAGATGTGCAACTCTTCCTTTCACTTGAACACTTAGAGGCCATTGTATGGTTATTAATTGGCCTAATTTCAATATTGCTCTGTCTCAGGGATTAGGGAGGCCTGAGGAGGAGGCAGAGGTAGGGGACCGTGAGTGGAGCAGTCAGAACACACAATTTTTATTGCCATCTTAGATTGGCACAGTTTATGGTGCCCCAAAGCAACTATAATAGTAATGTCAAAGGTCACCGATCACAGAACACCATAACAGATATAACAGTAATGAAAAAGTGTGAACTATTGTGAGAATTACTAAAATGTGACATAGACAGGCAGTGAGCATATGCTGCAGGAAAAATGGAGCCAAGACTTTCTTGATGCAGGGTTGTCATAATAAATGGAAATGCATTAGAATGAGATATGCCTGTGTATACTAGAAGTAAGATGATTTTAGAATCATGCTTTCAGGCCGGGCTCGGTGGCTCAACCTGTAATCCCAGCACTTTGGGATGCCGAGGTAAGTAGATTGCCTGAATCCGTGGATTCAAGGCCAGCCCAGGCAGCTTGGCGAGACCTCGTCTTTACAATAAATAAAAATTAGCCAGGTGTGGTAGTTCATGCCTGTAGTTCTGGCTACTTGGAAGGCTGAGACAGAAGGATCACCAGCACCCAGCAGATTGACGCTGGGGTGGCCGTGAATGTGCCACTGCACTCCAGCCTAGGCGGTAGAGACTCCAACTCAGGAAAAAAAAAAAAAAAGGATCGTGCTTCCATCATTTATTATTAAAATTTTCAGACATATAAGTTGAAAGAATAGTACAATGAACACCAGTATATCTACCACCAAGATTCAATAAATGTGAACATCTTGCCATATTTGCCTTATCTATGAGTGTATGTTTTTTGATAAACCATTTGAAAGTTGTAGATATCTTGACACTTCTTTAAATATCTCAGCATACATCTATCTTCTAAGCCTAAGGACAGTTTTCTACATACCCATAATACTGTAAGCTCAGATAAGAAAATTAACAGTACCTTGCCAGTCTTCACTGATATCATTTAATTCATAGTCCAGTGCTTCCTGGAGTGTGGTCTGTAGATTACCTGCTGGTTCACAGGGAGACAAGGAACTTTCACCAGATTTTTTATCAGAGTACCACATCCTTCATCAAGA